GGGGAAGAAGAAATAGAAAAAAAGAACGGTAATCTGGTTTTTATAATACAGTCGTCCCCTTTATAGTCACACCCCTCAGGACTAAAAATAAAAGGATTTTTATATGTTGCTACTAAGTGTTGGTTCTGGAAGGGCGTGACTCACTGTGATTATAAAGGGGTTTTTTTATATAGCATTAATAGCTTACGAAATGTGTGCTTATAATGAGGGATTTATATGATGTGGTTGTACAGGGGATTACTATAGAGAGGGACGACCGTATATATAAATTGTTGGACAAAGTATCATCCTGTGAAAGAATGTAATGCATCTTATAAATTTGAAAAAAAAAAATTGCACGATCAGATTAAATACAAAACCCTGAGTTGGGATAACTCTTCTGCAGTGATAAGAAAATAATACGAAATTATCTTTCATTAATCACATATATATTTGTTCAACATTGTATATCTTTGTATAATGCAGAGAATTAATAATTGAAGAGATATGATAATCTATTCTCACAAAGAAATCTAATGTTTATACAAAGATGCATAACCATGCATATCCATTCAATTTCATACGAGAAAGAACTGAGTCAGCAATGTTGTCACTAGTATTCGGCAAGATAATGCGTTGAATTTTCATTCCTTATCTCCCTTTTAATGGAATGTGATAGTTCAGTTACACGAGATTAAGATACAGTGCTGCGCCTTTGAATTTTCAACGCGAAACATTTAATATATGCATTTTTATAAAAGTTTTGCGAGTGAATATTCATGTCGTGTAATTAGATTTGTTCATATTCAAGTTTTAATAATGCGTCCGTGCCCAATATTTTTTTAATAATATGATAATTATTATTAATTATTATGCCACGTTGATTGATTTGTCATTTTCATTATTATTCATAAACGTTACTAAACAAAAGACTCGGGAGGGTCAAGACAATTACTAAAACCCTATATTAGTTCAAAGTGTTCTAGACTTCCTAAGCGCTTTGGGATTGAAGTTCAACATAATAGATGTAGGTTGTTTAAGATATATGGAGTGGCGTCATTCCTAGCTACTGGGAAAGACCTGGATGACTTTCCGGACAACTTTCTTCTCCCCAAATTCCGTCGTCGTATGCTTGAAAGTCATAATTTCTACGTTGAGCAACTTAAAATATCTTATGGATAAACTGCGCAGAACGGATTGCGTCTGTCGATGCCTGATTATATGCATATGAGTCCAAATTTTGACACTTGAAAAATGTTGAATGGACCTGATAATTACTATTCATCATCGTAATCATAATTTGAAATTATATCCTAATAAAAGAAATGCTTCTTGGTAATTTGTTCCTGAAAAATAAATTTAAAAGTGCCTATAAGTTTGCTCGATTGTTTAAAAACTCTGCATTTTCACAATAAAACTAAAATTCTACATTTGTATAATTAATTTATCGGTATATCCAGTTATTATCAAACTATCATTGTCATTGTTGATTAATATATAATATTAATAAGTTAAAATATTTTTAATAGTTAAAATTTTCTGTTTCTAAATTCATAACATCACGAGACTATCACAGGAACGATCTTTATGTAAATAAGTTATTTATATTCAGTATTAAAATTAATAAATTAAAAAATTTTTGACAAAATTTAATATGAGGAAAATTTTTTTTAGAACTAGAAGTTTAATATGGTTGTATCGCAAAACATCTTTTACCTCTTAAATGATTAAATTATTTTTTTTTTACATTAACTATCATAAATAGTACCTATAATATTAAAGGAAGAAAATGATAGTTTTCGGGAAATTAAAGGTGCATTATATTAATTTAAAACGTCACTATTAAGAAAAATATCGAATGTTATTTTTAATTTCTAAGTCAATTTTGAGCACATAACTGTGATCAGTCAAGTGGACCAACAAAAAAAAAAATTTTATCAAAATTTAGATTTCCGCTCATATGCTTAGAATTTATTAGAATTTTTTTTTTTTTTTTAAAAAAAAAATAATTTTCATTAAAATTAATGTTAATTTCGGTTTGATATAATGGATTTGTCCGTTCGTTCCATTAGTAAATATCGAAAGATTGTTATTGCAAGATTTTTTTCTGTAAATCAATCATCATTTTTTTTTTGTCTAGCACTGCATAAACCCTGGTCTTATACAAAAAAAAATTGAATAACTTTTGTAAGATGAAGGGTAATTTAGATTCCGGTATCTACAAAAAGGTAAGTAATATTAGCTATTTTTTTTTTAAAAAATAAAATTTTAACGAAAATTTTTTTTTATTATGACTTACTTACCTCTGAATAATGATTTGAAAAATCCGATAGCTACAAGAAGGTAATTGTAATTAGATTTTTTTTTGTATTTGTTGATGAAACTCACTATATTTTTTCTGTGCAAATTTTTGCTTTAAAAATGGTTTGTCTTTGTCAACGTACTCTTTTACATCTCAAATCATATAATTAATGAATGTATGTTTAAGCCTTTTCTTGTTTGTTTTGGAAACTGCTAAAAAAAAAAAAAATGCAAAGAAGGCTTCGATAATTTCGTTTCTTACCTTTTAAATTATTAAGATGAGATTAAAGACATTATGTTAAGTTAAATCGGAAAATATAAAATAATGCTATTTATATCGCTTAGCTGTCACATGAAATGAGAACGTTCATAGACAATTACATTTCTCGATATATTATTTATTTTTTTTTTTTATAAAAATAAAAAAAAAAAAAAATGATATTCCTGTTTTTTTTTTCTGTAAATTAAATTTTTGGTGCTAAAATAAAATCAAAAACGTATTTCAACTTTTTTTTTTTTTCATGTACTGTCCGGAGGTAATTTTTTAAAAGTTAAACTTTATTTATAAGTAATAATCTTACATCGTCAAATAAATAATAAATAAAATATTATTGAAAAAATAAATAAAGAAAAAGAAAATGTGATATCAGCCAAAAAAGTTGTTGAAGTTATTAAGCGATTCACTTAATCCTAAATAGTTTAGTTGTTGAAATTGGGGCTGTGTATTATCTGAAACGTGAATATGAGCGTTAATAACATTTTCGTTAATAGAAGTTTCACCTTCACTAGAAAAATAGTGTTGTTGTGGATTTAATTGTGGTGGATTAACCGAACGAGAATAATCCACGTAAGTATTGCCTTGTTGAAATTGTTGATTCATGTCTAAATAATTTGAACTTGTTACTGGAGAGGATGTGGGGATTATAATAATTTTATACCCGGAAATTTCAACCGTTTGTATTTGAGGAGAGCTAGGTAGGTAAATCTGATCACTAGCGTTCGACTGCGGCGCGTGAGATGGGTATTGAAAAGTTGGATCGTATCCATTTGTTGCAAATGAATAATCCTGTTCTTGATTTAATTGTGTTGGATTAACCGAATAAGAAGAATAATCCGAATAAGCATTTACTTGTTGCAGTTGATGCTGCACGTCTAAACTGATTAAACTTGCCAACGGAGATGATATGGGGATAATAATAATTTCATAACCGAGAATTTTAACCGTTTGTATTTGGGAAGAGCTAGCATTATTCATGCTAGGTGAATGAGCTGGAGGATTATTATGTGGGGGAAAGTTACTTGGTGAATTCTGTTCTAAAATCTCTTGCTCATTAGCATTATGAACAGATGTGTAAGGTACTGGATGATTATTAAGATTATTATCTCTTGTAGAAAAGTCATCATAGGCAACGTTTCCACTGCAAAAAATATCCGATGATTGTTCTGGCTGGATTCCAAATTTTTCTGATGGATTTTGATACATTTTAGATTTTTATTTTTAGATTTATGATTAATATGTTATTGAATTAATGTTGGGATTTTTATAGTAATAAATTATTTTTTTTTGACGAAAATTTGACATGTATTTATATTTAAAAAAATTTTTTTTTACGTTCGGTCGTCAATGTCTCAAATTAAATAATATATCACAAATTATAATACTAATATAAATTAGACTTAAATAAAGTTATTGTTTATATTAAATAGAGGATTCAAAAAAAAAAAAAAAATTTTTATTTTTTTAGTATAATATTTATATTGTCATATCATTTCAACTGTGCTAATAAAGGGATTTATCCGAATTGAATAAACTCTTTTTTCTCTATCGAAAAAAAAACATAATGAATAAATAAAAAAAAAATTAATTTAATTAAATTGGATTTCTTTGTGATATAACAAAACAATAGTGAAATTTCAACTATAACAATATAAATTGCAAATGCTGTTGTGAAACGATGAGGCGATTATTTCCATCTTTACGTAGAAATAACCATATAGACATATCCTTAACCCAATCCCGCACCGCTTTGATATAAATATTTCCTCGTGTATGTGATATGTGATGACATGAATTTGAAATATCAATATAAATAATTTTAATTGCATGTTTTTGCATTCTGAAAATTATGCTTCGTACTACCATTCCCTAGTAATGGTCTTTTTAAAATAAGATTCCTCCTCGTGGCATGGGGTTTTTTTGTGGCTTTGAGATCTGTGCATGTTGCATGCCAGCTATCAAATTTTTTTTAACAACTTGCAAGATTTTTTTAATTTATATATTAAATAGGATATATTTTAATTAGCTGAACACATTTATCTCAAATGTAACTATTAAATAAATGTAATAATTTTTTTTTCTTAACGAACTAAATTTTTTATGAATGTTTCTTTAAGTAAAGACTTTAAATTTAACCTTTCGATTTATGTAACGTCCAATCTCAAAATTCACTTTTCAATATTTTCCTTCAAATGCAATGTCGTATGTTGATTGATGAATCAGATTTTGAGCACGTGTTGTTGATTTTGTGTTACATAACATGTGTATAAAATTCGTGTTTGCATCATTTGATAAAAATACCCTGATTTCCATTTTTTTTTTTTTGTGATTAATATAATGCTTTGAACGCTCCGACGGTTCCCATTACCTAGTTTTAGTTAAAATTGATGATTTAACATATCTTACTCCTTTATAAATTTCATTTTTAACTAAACTTTGGGTTTCATCCTAAAACGTCTCGAGCAACTAACTTAACTTACAGAAAAAAAAGGAACAAGCATATCACTTTGACAACTCACATTTTTTTGAAAATTCCTTATTTAACATTCCAAATTTATAAACATACTTTTCTGTCTATGTTAAACTCATTTTTTATTTTTTATATCGCGAAATTTCTATAAAATGAATTCTGAGACAAATGTCCTATTTTGATGGCTTAATTTTACCAATCAAAATTTGTTGAAATTAAATGAAAATAATTATACTGATTTTTTTAATCACAAAATAGCCAGTAAATTTTCATCCAGTACCCACGAGGGAAGGTGATACGAGCATGATACAGACAGTAATACGGGGAATAAAGAAATATAATGATTTGTTTGGTGTAAGTGATAATACGAGATTAATTATAATATTTATGTTTTGAGATACATATTTTTATTTGATATTAATTAAGTTAATCAATGGGTAAACTAATGAAAGATTGGGTATTTTTATTCGTTAAGTTAGTAAATGTTCAGTGATTGTCCGGAGCGAAGCGTAGGACATTATACTTTTAGGAAATAGTGTGAAAATTTTATAATTACGTGAGTATTTCCGTTTGTCACGCCGCGTGTACGATAATATCAGTAAATAAAAAAAACAAAAAATTTCGCTCAGGACTTAAAATGGTTTCCATTTCCTAGTTTAAGAATAATATGTTTAGAGATTTACTAATAAAGTTATTGTTTAACGTAACGTAAGAATGATCATACGACTACGAAAATCGGCGAGCATTAGTATTCGCAATGTGGTTAATCTTTGATATTCCGAAATGACGTCTTTGGTCAAATTTGAGTCTCATTTTTGCGTCAAATAATTTACAATCGATCAAACATTAAAATTTCAATTTAAGCCCAATTAAAGTCAATCTAAAAGCAATAAGCCAACCCATACATTCGTCAAGTAATAAATCCTAATAAATCACGAAATCATTTACTCTTTACTTTTTGGTTAACATTTAAATAAATCACAAGACACCACAAAAATAAGAAAAACCTATATATATAACTCGCATCCGTAAGAATCTAATATCTACACGAATCGTAGCATATAGATTACCTGATTAAGATTAAGAATAAATTCGTCGGTCAAAATTGTGCAGATCGATTTGACCAAAAAAGAGTATCTTGGGCGTTTTGTTGATCTTAAAACGGGGATTATTAATATTTTTATTTAAAAAATTATATCATCAGACCCGAATAGGAAAAATGTAGGGTCTGTTTTCTTCTCTATGATAATAAATAATAAATAATTAGGAATAGTTGTATTACAGTCATTGCGACATAGGCATCTAGAACAGTTTTATTCTGGTTTCACAAAAAAAAAAATTTTTTAATTTTGGTCGGAATTTATCGTAATATCTAAGAACTACATATTTAAACCAGGTTAATTACCGAAAATCTCATCCTTTCTTAATCACGAGAAATCAAAAAACACAAGTATGGGAATTTATGCTTTACATAAATTGATAATCTTTGAATCAAAAAATTTTTTCATTGAAGATAACTTAATTGGATTAATCAATTTTCTTCGTTTATTTAAAATGAACAATTTTGGATTTCATTTAAAAATCCAAATTTTTTTTTTAATAAATTAACGCCTTCTTGATTTTCTTAAAAAAATAAAAAAAAATAAAAAAAATTTTTACTAAATCATAAAGTCTTTAATAATGATTTTCAAATCTCGTTTTCCTGATATTGAAATTCCAAAAATCGGGGTTTATCAATATGCTACAAGTAATCCTAGTGGAATTGATGATGACAAACACATCTTTATTGATGCTATGACGAATAAAAAATTATCGTTTGGTGAATTTAAAAGAGATACAAAGAGATTAGCGGCTGGTTTGGTTAATAAAGTTGGATTTAAACGTGGAGATGTTTTGGCCATATTCTCTACTAATCACGTAAGAGTTATCCGTAGCTGCATAAGTAAATCTAATAAAGTTACATTGTACTGTACATTGCTAAAGTTTTTATACTTTATTTAGCTTGATTATCCGACCGTGGTATATGGTGCAATTGCGGCTGGCAAGTTGTTTGAAATTTTCGTTTCACCCAACGATAAATTCAACGTAAAATAAAATTGCTTCCTTTTTATAGGAGGGAAAGTGTCCCCAATAAATCCATTATATACGGTTGATGAATGCACCTATCAATTAAAAGATTCTGGTGCATCCGTCATTATAGTTAATCCTTCATTTCTTTCAAATTTGATTGAAGCCGCATCCGCAGCAAATATTCCAAAATCCAAAATATTTTTGTTTGGTGAAGAAGAAATTGATGGAATTCGACCTTTATCATCTTTATTTTCGGAAAAAGAAATTAATCCAATAGAATACACCTCAGAAGAAGCAAAGTCAACGACTGCCTTTTTATGTTACAGTTCCGGTACTACAGGAAAGAATAAAGGAGTTGAAACTACTCATTATAATATGGTATCAAATTTAGCTCAATTATCTGCTTTCGAAAAGGGATTCACTCATGAAACGTCTTTCATTGGATTTCTCGTAAGTTCTAATAAATATAAGTTGATTAAAAAAAAAAGAACCATATATTAAATAAGTTACGCGAATACATTAATTTTAGCCTTTCTTCCATATATACGGAAAAGTCTTCCTTTTACACCTTATTATTCTTAAGGTATATATCAATAATAAGGTTGCGAATGTTATACCGGTAAATCTAATACAAACTCATTCATCTCCGCACGTCGTGTTTTTTTTTTTGTATAAAAGGGAGCTTCGTGTGTTATTCTTCCCAAGTTCGAATTAGAAATATTTTGTCGTGCGATTCAAGATTATAAAGTAAATTTGGCACCAGTTGTACCTCCTGTCATTTTGCTTTTAGTTAAAAGCCCCATTGCAAGAAAATATGATCTATCAAGTTTACGATTACTTATATCCGCTGCCGCTCCTTTAAGCAAAGAATTAACTAATGATTTTTTTAAAATTCACAAAATTCCAATCAAACAAGCTTACGGTATGCATTGATAGGAAGAATTTTTTTTATTATTGACATTTTACCTACTTTTTATTTTATTTGTTTCTTTTTAGGTTTAACAGAGACATCTCCAATTACACATTTGGTGGAGACTGATAACATTATCCAAGGTAAGGTGAAAGATGTCACGTGAATTTAATTTGTGCATCCATAAAATTGTTAATTTTTTTTTTCGTAGGCTCGATTGGAATTCTTCTTCCAAATATTGAATGTAAAATAATTTCGGAGAATGGTCAAGGTAATCAATTACCTTTTTTTATTCCTGTAAGTTTAAATTGGACAAAAAAATTAAAAGAGAGATTTTATTAATAGAACTCGGATGTAATGAACTTGGCGAATTATACGTCCGTGGACCAAATGTTATGAAGGTAAAAATAATTTATTTATATTACTCAAAAAAATTATGTTAATAAACTAATCAGTTATTTAACAGGGTTATCTTAATAATAAGAAAGCTACGGACATGTGTATTGATAGCGATGGTTGGTTTCGTACAGGGGATGAAGTATACGCTGACTCTCAAGGTATATAATTAATTCATTCATTCATATTTCGCTCATCGTAAAAAAAAAAAAATTAATATTAGAAAATTCGTTTCTAGAAAATTTTTTCATTGTCGATCGCGTTAAAGAATTAATTAAGTACAAGGTAAAATACAAATTATATAAATATTTTAAAAATTTAATAAATATATATATATTTTTTTCTTTTTTTGACATAGGGATTCCAAGTAGCTCCAGCCGAACTTGAATCAATTTTGCTTACTCATCCATCTATTGATGATGCTGCGGTAATCGGAGTATATTCTGATGAAAATGCGACAGAATATCCGACAGCATTCGTAGTATTACAAAAAGATATAAATCAATCTGATGAGATGAAGGAAGAAATTAAAGAATTTGTCTCTCAAAGAGTTTCTAATCATAAAAAATTACGTGGTGGCGTTTATTTTACTGATCAAATTCCTAAAAGTCCCTCTGGTAAAATTCTGAGAAGGTTTTTAAGAGAAAGTGTAAAGAATATTTCAAAATTTTAAAGGAATTGAACAGATGGTAAAGATTTCTTATTTATCCTTCATACTATAAATTCATTCACATTTCATTATTTTTATTCATTATATGAAAGTTGAAACCGTTAATTAAATATCCAACAAAGAGTGTTTTCGACTTATTATTTATATAATCACAAATCATGAAATTTTGCTTGCTAATTCACGATTAGCTGCTATTGGATCACGTGTTAATTTTTATAAACCTCTAACGCTTAATGATCTAATTTGAATCATGAGATTATATTCGTGGTTGTGAATAACTTGACAAAACATAAGGTGAAGAGAAAAAAAACGACGTGAAGTGGAGATAAAAAAATTTAATAAGCTTCTCTTAATAATAATATTTGAATAATTATCATTGGAGACATGCTCATAATAATGATAAAAAAAAAAAAAAAACCTTGAAAACGAAAGGCTGTACCGAAATAAAAAAATAATGATGAATGCCGTTAAAGTTGCGATTTATAATACAATAATTATTTTTAAAAAAAAATCATTCAGTATTGCGAAAATTATAGTTATGTATAATTTTAATTCTTTGCATTTCGAGGTTAAATACTTAATATTCTAGACAAATAAAAAAATTAAATTTTTTAGGTCGATTCAATCATTATTCGCGAGTTTAATTTCATACATAAATTCTTTCTATTCCTACTTTTTATAGTAAATCGAAAAGTTTTGCATTAATCCTCGTGCCAACTATTCGTGTAAGAAATGTTTTAGAAAATTTATTTATTTTTTTGTAAAAAGGTTTTATTATCAAATTGAATCAATCAATTGCCAATAAAAGCAAAGAACTAGAAGTTTTATAAACATTCTGAATTATGATGTTTGAAATCCAACGGATTGTCAATTGACCTTGCCTAGATCACTATTATCACAATTCGAACTTTTACCTGAGTACTATATTTATTTATTAAATGTGTCTAAATTCGATAATATTATAATATAGTAAAACATGTAAAACCTTTTTTGAATAAAAAAAAAGCCGTGAATCATAATAATTGATCATATAGACTACGGGTTTAAGTTATTATCCTAGACCCAATGAATAAATAAAACTTTTAAAGTACTTATCACGTGATAAGTACAGGACAAGAGCCCGAACCCAGGGAACATTTTAAGGATTCCCGTAAGAGACATTCGTAAAAGCCAACACTGTGATTTTTTGGCTGGGATTAAACCGTCCCAGCGTCGCCCGTAAAAAATGGTAGCCGGATTTATTTGTCGGGTCACATATACTTATTAGAGTGACATATAATAGTGACAATTAGCATTTTTCTCAACAAAAATTTAGAATACTTAGTAAATTGAAGAACGGCTGGGATGTGACGCGATGTGACCCCCTTTAAACTAATCCTAATTCTACCCTAATCCTAACTTTAATAATAAATATCCGGCAAATAAAATCCGGCTGCCATTTTTTACGGGCGACGCTGTGTTCGTCTCTGGGATTACTGAACTTAGCCGAAATTATACATGTGACAAATAATGTGACAAATAGGATTTTTCATAATAAAAATGGAAAAACTGATGATATGTAACAATTTATATAAGGTCAATGAGAATAAAAAAAGTATTGAGGATACTGAAGATTACAAAATAAATAAAGTTCATTTAAATTTATACATTAATTACACAATGAAAAAAATAATTTAATATAAATTATAAAAGGGGGAAATCTACAAATTTTGAGTAATTTTAGTTATTAAGCTAGTTTTGTGGATTTCCCCCTTTTTCTACTGACCACCTCCCATATGTAATTTATTTTGAAAGTTTATATTATATGAAAAAAAAATTCATAGACGTATTAAGAAATGATTTAGACAATCATGTAGACACATATTTTCTACCCAAAGGCGCTGGAGCAAGGAATATTGCAGAGAAAATGCTTCCAAGTCCAGTTCATCCAAAGAATCTGATGTTTGGGTAGAGGAAAGGCGGGTCTCAAAGGACCGCTCAGGTAGCTGAATGCTATCTAAAAAGAGGAAGGCTAGCAAGTTTTCCAATAAGTCCGATTAATGTTAGTCCAAAGCAATGATCACTAGTCCCGGGCAGACTCAGAGCATTAATCAACGACCCTGAAGCAATAATCGAATTTTTTTTTTTTTGAAGATGTAGCACAAATATGCACTATTCATGGCACATTCAAACATTTTTAATTTACTATTAGAGGCGATTTTATATTTCTTGGAAATGCAATAAACAAATCACTTTATCCTGTGGTGCAAATGCTGTGCTCCTATTCTATGAAGACGCATCGAGTTAAGGGAAATGGAATACTCAACTGGAAAGATTTATAAAATTAGCACGTGGGGGAGGATGAAAACCAATTTATAGCTTGAAACTAACTCATCTTAAATCACACTACCATTCACTTTCAAATAAAAAAATTCAAAGACATTGTGCATACATTCCCAAATATAATTAATTCATTTAGAGTACAGATTTTACTGATAAATCACTAAAACTAATAGGCGAATCATACCCAACTTTGAAGTATCAATTTATCTGCTTTTGTGCAATAATCTACTGGCTCGACCAAAAAAATGATAAAGGCCTATGTGCAATCGCAAATTCATGCCATAAATTAGTATGTCTAAATATCGATTTGTAATGTTATTTGTTCTTGACCAAGCATATATTATTTAACTATTAGATTTAACACATCCGAATATTTATTAAAATTTTTTTTTCTTCACGCACGTAAAATAGTAATTTCTCATGTGATCCATTGTCATTATTGTCCGGACTCAACAACGGTTCCCGTTTCCTAGTCTATTATATCTTTCATAATTTCCGATAAATAATAAAAAAAAAAATAAATTACGAAAAAAAGAAAAGATGAATACAAAAAAAAAGAAAGAAAAATAAAAATAAAAAAGAAAATAAAAAAAAAAGAATCGATCGAAGAAAAATATATATATATATATCGAAAAAAAAAGGAAATACGAAAAAAAATAACGATCGATAAGATCGATCGAATTGAGATATTCGAAAACCGATATTCGAAATCAATTTCGATATCATATCCAAATCATTTCGATATCAAATATTAATTATGTATTTTCGAATATTTGAATTTTATTTATTTACAAACAAATATTCGAATAGACTCGTATTCGTTTAACTCGAGTCAACTCGAGTTAAATTCTGATTCGAGTCAAGATTTTCTTGATTCGAGTCAGAA